CTCATAAAATGGCTGCGCCCATAAAATCTAATGGTGTATTGTAACCTTAAGCCAGCAAAAAGATACCTAAAATAAATGTTCATTTCTGGCTAGGCTCACTATTCACGATGTTTATTTCAAGCTTGACTCTGATTATGTAGTAATACACAGCATATAAAATATAAAATTTTAAAAAGCTTTAACAAAATTAGGTCTCATATATACATATGATCCGGTAAACAAATGAAATGAACAGAGACAAAAACTTTAAATACTTTTAAGCGTAGAAATTTTTCTATGTCTTTATGTAGCACATTTTGTTAACTTACTATATACGTATGCAGCTACTAATAACTTCCAATTAAAAGAAACACTGCTTTAGCATGTGTGCACTTTCCAGCAAAAACAAAAAACGAAGCCATAGTAAAAGGTTAAAAAATATTTTCAGTACTTCAATAACACTAAATTAAATCTCGAATGAATTATAGGGACTTCAACTTAAACCGAAATGAGTCTTATATGTTAGTTTATCAAGAATACTAACAGTTTAAAAACAAAATTTGCAAACGAGTACTTCTTGTCATGTATAATATGAGCAATGGGTTAAACCTCGTTGCTAGTTCAATATAACCCCTACCAGTGGTTTGATCTAAATGCCAATCACGTTGTTTTCTCGTGACACTTGGTTCTCCACACTTGAGAAAACGTATTGTAGGGAAACAACCATCGACATGGTTCATATATTAAATATATAAAATTTTGAGAATCTTAATAATGACACTTAAAGTCAATAGAATCTCCCGAAATACACGTTTCAAACAGAGTTCCAAGTGTAAGGGAATAGGCATACATTTCGTTAACCATTAAAACATAATACGTATACCTTATCTGGTTACTTTAAAATTTCACAAATGTACCCCAAAAAAAACCCAATATAAATGATTATTTAAACATTTCACAAATTTACCGAAAGTAGATTAACTTACCGAATGCTGCACAGATAAAGGAACAGGCAATTGTCAAATTGTAGATAGTAAATAAGCTTCCCGATGTAGCAATAGAATTCTTACCCGAAACTGTTATAACTGAGGAACTTGAAGAATTACAATGAAATATCTCTTACCGCATTGTTTTCCAAAATACAAGTAATTCTTGGACCTGTCATTAAACGAATACAAAATAAACTAGATCTTTAAAATATATGTTTGTTTATTCATTTAAAGCTCGCTTGAATGTTTGAGGATGTAAAGATATAACTATAATGTATTATTTTATTTTCATATCTCATCTCACCTCACAGGATAATGAGAAAAAGAATGGGAACTTATATTAAGAACTTTAGAAACAACTGTAGCCTACAAATACTACTGAAAGAAAATCAAAGTGACAAAACATAATATTAACTCAAAAAGACACCATTAGCACCTGAAATAACAGATCAGGAAGAATCTTATCGTGAGCAAATAGGACATATCGATAGGTTGCTTTGTTGAATCGTCAAATATCTAATTGATTTTAGTATGTCAAATTAATTTACAGTTCGCCATGCAAAGGGAGGAATTGAGATAGAAGAACTTTACTGTTGTAACGCATCATCCCGCTCGAAGCAATGTATGAACTTTTCTCGCACAAGAAGAATAAATGAAGATTCTGAAAGTAGCCAATGTAAAATGAAATATGTTTTAAAGGGCTGTCGAAAATCATGTCCGATAAAAACAGACAACACAAGAACAAAACATTCAAACTACGAAAAGACGAACACTAATAACAAAACACCAGAGTTTAAACTAAAACTGATCAACACGAACCCTAATAAAAACGATTGTGTTGCTCAAGCCAAATAAATAATCCTGTAACAAGTCGCTTTTTGCATGTTTCGAGGGAAAGAAGTCGGGATTGTGGTCATGACAAGTGGCATCTGTAACACAGATATTCAATAACGATCAACTTAACCATAATGGTGTCCGTAAACGGAAGTATTGATTGATCGAATTGTGTATTCAACTTTTCAATTATTTAAGGTTAACATTTGTCGGACACATAACATTTTAAAAGTGTTATTTGCATTTTTTTGTAGCACTGGGTCGATGCCGCTGCTGGTGGACTATCAGTCCCCGAGGGTATTATCAGCTCAGATGTCAGTACTTTTCTTAAATTGATAAATTATAAAGAAAATAAGGTTCCAACTTCCTCAGGCAATGTTGACCTTAGATGGATTTAGCTATCACATTTCGGTACTTTTTGGTCATAAAGCTCTTCAACTGTTTCGGTTCGTAAACATCCTTTTCTTCAAATAGTCGGCTTTGAGCGTTCCAGGTGAAGTTCAATCCAGAAAAGGGCTTTATAAAGTGTTATTTTCATAATTTGTTTTGAAATGGTTTCAGATGTTGAATGCACGGGTTTTTTTTCTATACAAAGTAGATATAGGAAGATGTGATATGAGTGCCAATGAGACAACTCTCCATCCAAGTTACAATTTATAAAAGTAAACTATTATAGGTCAAGGTACGGCCTTCAACACGGAGCATTGGCTCACACCGAACAGCAAGCTATAAAGGGCCCCAAAAAATTACTAGTGTAAAACCATTCAAACGGAAAACCCAACGGTCTAATCTATATAAAAACGAGAAACGAGAAACACGTATGAACTACATAAACAGACGACAACTACTGTAATCAGATTCCTGACTTAGGACAGGTGCAAACATTTGCAGCGGGATTAAACGTTTTAATGGTACCTAACCTTCTCCCTTTTCTGAAACAATAGTATAACATCACAACATAGAAAAACACACTATAAAATATCAATTGGAAGGCTTAACTCAATCAAAAAACGTATATTAACACACAATGAACGACTAAATTTGACCTGTGACACCTGAATGCAAATACAAAGGCATACACAGACGTACTGCTTGTATGTGTAACTACCTGAAATGTCAAATATATCAATTAGACGCAATTTTGTGGGGTAATAAAACAACATGTAGACATATATATGTTCATCTTCTGTTAAGATGTCTGTAAAATACTGTGTGCTATCTTTTTTTTCTAATAATATGAATGATCCACTATGGTAAATATATAAATTGGTTCTAATATTTTCTATGAAATATATTTATCGTAAGGGATTTTTAAAGTAATAGTTGTGAGAATATTTTTTCCCGCGATCAAGTGATGAATTTCTTGTTGAATGTCTAAATAGTTATTATTGTTAAGCGATCAATAAATAATGATTGTAAATTGAGGCGAGATTCACTATATCTAACCTGTTTTTAAAGGAATCTTGGATGAAAATGAACTATCATTTTGCAACTTCTTTTTTCATATATTTTTCTTTCTACATGAACTGTTGTCATGGAAGTAAAATTAAATTAAAATTGTCCATTGAGTGTTTATTTTAGGACAGGAATACAATTGTCTTGAAATAATTAATTATGTGTAATTGCATATTAAGGTAAGAAAAGAAAATTGTCTTCTTTACAGATAAGTATCGTTTTTTTCCAAGTTGACATAATTACTTCTTCATGACTTTACTTGAAACACAAACACGCATATACCCCTCTCCTCAAAAAAGAAAATTTCGAGAGCACAACGCATGGCTTCAACAAATGATAGGTGTATATCCTGTGTTGAAACTATTTGTCAAAAAGTCCCACATCTAGAAAATACCAAGTGAATACTTTAACAATGGACATGAAAGGTCGTCAAATCAAGTTCCCCAAATTTCAACAATGATAACAAAATAAAGGTAAATAATAGACGACCACTGACGAGTTGCCTCGCTTGGGCACAGATGTTTTTAATCGAAATATATTAGACTTATGTTTTAGCTCGTAAATATTATCTGCATTTATCCCCGTAGAGAATATTGTTTTAAAAGTAGTTCTCACAAAAATTGACTTGTTTGAATATTCTGTATTAACTAAAATGTAAATCGCCTGGTTTGTGCATTTTCCAGTCAGATATTATTTTTAGATATACCCTTTAAATCCTACACACTTTTGTAAACTGTTACGTGTTTTAAAATACTAGATGAATACACGGAGATTTAGGGTCTTCAACAATAAACAGGTGTCTATCTCTAAATCGTCCCATGTCTAATAAGTTTTAAATAAATTTAACAGAGACTGTAAAAGATTACACTTACTAATTAAAAATAAATATCAGATATGATAAAAAAAAAAGGTAATAGAATATTGTCTTTTTAATGACTATCATAATTATACTGAAAGTAATGACGAGTTTTCATATTAGAATTATTATGTATTTCCCTTGATAATAAAATTTCAGATAATAAATTATTCATTTGTAATTTACAATTCACATATCAAAAATCGGCATTTTAACCGAACAGGTCACGTTAAAATGATCACCGAGGAGACAACTATAAAAGAAGTTAGACTTATTTACTAAGGCTTTTAATGAACTACTTCACTAGAATACATGTATAACGAAAATTTTAAAATACCTTGTTCTTGGAAATGTTTATATAGAACAGATATTGATCCAGATTAATCGTTTTTGTGTTTTGTTTTAATTATTGCTAAACACAATAATATAGAGATATAAACACGTCTTGATATTATATTTATGTTGATATTTTATAATATAAAAAAGGTCAGTTCAAAATTCATTGTTATTGTTTTGAATTCAAGGTTAAAAATGGACATTTAATGAAAGTTTCAGTAAAATATGAATTTAAATACATGTAAAATTTAAAATTAAGAACAGGGACAGTTTCTTCTCTTGAACACCATTTGTTAAATAATGTAAACATGAACAAGAATGAAGATTTTGATAAAGATTATTATAAGCATTTATTTATACTTGGTTGGCAAAAAAAAAAAATCAATATTTCGGGTGTAGAAAGAGGGGATTGTATTCTTAGATATATACAAGAACGAAAATGAAACCTAAGTCCACGGACATTTTATACATTACGAAGTGAACGATTGAAGAGATACATGTTACCAATATTAACAATACAATGGGTAGGGTCAGATTTTAAAGGTATGTGTAACAAGTCTACCGGTAAACCTTTTTAGTTTATGTGGCTGTATTGAGACCGAAGTACGCAATTGTAAATTTGTCGTCAGGTAAGGAGTCTACTTTCTGTATTTCATAAACGTCTTTGATCTTTTTTTTTATCAATTTGTAGCTAAAAGAAATTAAAATATTGATATAATACTTCTGCTTGGTAGGTTTAGTATGTTTTAACAAAAAATCATTCGCTGAGGTTCCTAGATGTTACGTACTTTGTAAGTACACGTAAACACTGGTTTTGTTTGCAGATTTTGACAATGTCAAGTTCATATGTATTTTGACATTCTATATTAATCCAATCTGTATCCATTTGTCCACCATCTTTTATCATGATCTTTCATAATGAAGAGTTTGTAACACCCAATGTAAATCAAAGAATTTCCTACCAACAGATGAGCTTTGTAACGAAAGATTACCCGCCATGTCCTGATAAGAGCAGGTACTCTCAATTCTGTACTTTGTGTATGTAGTGCTTTTGTTAGTTGCTTTTCTGCTTTGTATCGATCTGATGAGTTTAGCCCTTTTTAACTGATTTCTATAATTTGTTGTTATGTTGTGCTGTTACACCACTGTCCCATGTTAGGGGGGATATGACTCTTCCAAATCATGAGTCTGGAACTTTGTGGTTGTTTTTGTTGCTGTATATCATATTTGTTTTTCGTTTCTTGTTTGGTACATAATTCAGGCCGTTAGTTTTCCCGTTTGTGCTGTTTTACTTTTGTCATCTGGGGGGCTTTATACCTTACTATGCGGTATTGGTTTTGTTCTTTAATGAATGCCGTACGGTGACCTATAGTTTATAACTTTTACCTTATTTGGTCTCTGGTGGAACAGAGTTGTCTCATTTACAATCATATCACAATTTCACATTTTCTTATTTTTATCTTTATGTAGATCAGTGATCACCTGTCATTTAAAATAGAAGATGGACTATATTACAAATCAAGACAACATGCTTTGACCACTAGCTTACCAGATAAATACACATGTCAGACAAACTTGCAAATCGCCTTTACCGAAATCGTCATTATTTTTCTACCACCGAGGAATTGGTAAGACGTAAAAATAAATGTTTATACATTTGTAGTTGATAAAGCTAATCTTGGTCGCAATTGTCCCTGCAAAATCTAACCTAAGACGAGGGTCTGGATTGGGTGGGGGATGTCTTCATTTCTATATACTTTAATTTGTTAAGCCAGTTTTGTATATTCTTTATTTTTTAGTACCCTGTTATTCTCGAGTATTTACATTTTAGCACCCTATTTTTCTCTGTTCTTTATATTTTATCGGCCAACTATTTCTTTTTTTTTTTTGTGCCTATTTTAATCTATTCTTTTGTTTTTGTTATTCTCTATAATTTCCCATTATTCTCTATTCTATAAACTCCACTCATACCCTCTTAGACTATCCTGTCTAGGCCATTTTAGTTTTGTTTTCAAACGTTCAGCATTTATGCTTCCTAAATGTATATCCTCGAGTGTATCGGATGGAAATGAATAAAGGAAGATGTAAGGTATGTGCATATTTCATATCATGATAGTGTCTGTAATATTTTCAAATTAAACCACTTAAAACCCTTGATGTTAAGCTTCTTAGTAAGAAGTAGTTTAAGAAATTATGACAGGAAACTCAAGCTTTGAAATATTGTATCAATTAGGAGATATACGCTCCATGTTCATGCGCTGCTGGAATGTTGCTATACGCATAAATGGACATTTTAAAAATTAGTAAATCGAAATTATCTGTTTTGTCATAAAATTATAAAAAAATCTAAGTATTTTCATAAATTTAAGTGTTTGACGTGTAACACGATGTATGACTTGTATGAGGTGTACAAAATGCATCAGTTACCAACATTTATATTGACAATATATAGAGTAGTGCAGAGATATTATATAATTTCCCTCGTTTTGTTCTTTGCAGATCACAATTGTTTAAATAAAAATGTGGGTGTGTCTCAACTGTCATGAATACAATGACCCTAATAACGAAAAGTGTGGAAAATGTGAAATTCCGAGGCAACAAAAAGAAAAACCAAAAGGTAACGTGAGAACAAATACATCTATTGTGGAAGTCAAGCTCCATGACTAACGAAAACAACTTAAAGCCAAATCTAATCGTTGAAAGCTCATGTATGAGTATTATGCACACACATTGAATGTATGCAACTATATAATTTATTAACCTTAAGTTCACATTTTGTAATATTTTTTTACCATCTTTAGAAAACTGTTGAAAATAATTTGTATAAACAGTGAATATCTAGTGCTGAATTTACTAGTAGGTAGCAATGTTAAAAACTTATATGGCCATTGCTTACAGGTATTAACACAAATTGATTGACCGGACACTATTCGTTTCAGGTGATCAGATGGAGAAAGCAGCGGCTATATGTCTCCGCCAATCTTGGTTTGAGCATAAAACGAAAGTTTTATATGAAACGATTTATTCAATGGTTTGCATTTTGTTTTTCTGTCATGTCATATCTTTTAACTTAATTGGAAACAATACTACATTGTAATTTGATTTCTCAACAATTATCCTGTTAAAATTCCTACAGCTGTTCCAATGCGGTACCTAAATTCTCCAGATAGTTCTGATAATTTCTGTTTCGTTTTCATGGTTAGATATTCGGCTTGGATCTGTTGGCCAAACAGCGCACGCTTCCTGGCACGTATGATTGGTGCTTCAACGTCAGTGTCATCCTAATTGTCACTGGGGCCAATTTCTATTATACTATCAGAATTGTCACTGAGGCTAATTTTTGTTATTCTATCAGAATTGTCACTGGGGTCAATTTCTATCGACTATCAGAATTAACTGGCATGCATGTATCAATTACATTTCCTGTCTCCATCTGGGTGTTTTTGTATTTTGTAAATAAGGTTTATTGTGTGGTCATTGAATAAAATTCTAAAGTGTGTAGCAATCTTTTTTTATAAAAAAATCCATACTATAAATTATTGTACAAGTTATAAGTGAATTTTAGTCGAATTTTGTACAAATTGTTTGTACAGGCACTTTTTGTACAAATTACAATTTGTACAAAGTCAAAATACAAATTATAATTTGTACAATTTTTTTGTACAAATTATAATTTGTACAAAATGATAACTTGTACACAACATATATATATATTGTATTCTTATCTTTGCAGGCAAACATGAACACAAGAATGCCAATTTGTTTAATCGGAAAACAATGTACACAAGAGGAAACTCAAAAGGATGGCAGAAGGGTAGGACTAATTAGTATAAAACCCACCTCTTGAAACGATAATGCGTAGATACAGGGACCCTACGCATTATTATCAAATCCCAAATATTGTAAAGCTCAGTATTTCATTTTATCAAATACAATTAATATTAAATATATTGATTCTTCATATAATTTTGCATGTACAAATCTCTCTCTCGTTACTCCAGCCATTAATCACATAAATCCGACGACAACTGGAAATATATTAATAAAATTGCTTAAAATTTCTAGAATACAACCATTTTAACAAAAAAACTTTATGATACTAGTTGTTCAATTTTTAAATGATTTACATTTTTAATGAACATGAACCCATTATTTTGTCACATAGACATAGACATGACTTCCAAGAAAAATTTAATTAAAAAAAAAGATAAATTTTATACCCTTCTCACATTTTGTTGGATTTTTTGTAACAGCCATTCAGCCAGGATACGAACGACAAAGTGTTGTTGGAAGACTGGAGGCAACATCCTTAGCTCCAAGTAAGAATCGTAAAAAAGTAACTTCAGTGAGAATAAATGTTTTAATGTGTCTGCATGCATACCATCCGGTACGAAAATAAAAAACAAGGTCCATTTAGAAATAAGAAAAAATATAATGAGTCTTATGTAGACGAAACAAACGTCTTGGGTAACAAATCATAATCTTGTATCTTGTTTGATTTTTTACCCAAGTTGTAGGTGAATTCAGCAGATACGACTGTAAAAAGATCTGAAACCGGTATACCGTTCTACAAACGGTCGAAGACATATAAACAGTTTGGATAAACTCAAATAGTCAAAGAAAATGTAGGCTTAATAGTACTTATTGGTTTCAAAGGGTGATCATTCGTCAACTCGTCACCTGTAAATAACTGTGCTACGGGTATGAGCAGCGAAAACAACAACTAGATTTTTATTAGATGTTAGGTTATTCCTACATACATATATAAATGACTCGGGAAGAAAAATTAAAGGAAACACAAAATCTATTAAACAGTCCAATTTTTGTTGTTCGATGACATATATTGTCCAATTTGAACTTTTATTCTATTCATTGTCCAATGAATATAAAATATCGAGGCGAAAACAATACTGCAGCCATAAATCACATGAATACGACGTCAACTGCAAAAGTACTACTACTTGCTCAAAATATCTAGAATACAATTCGTTTAATTTAGACCATTATGATAGTCTCAATTTTTAATTGATTTTCGTTTTGTCTACATGTGAAATTTTGAATTAACAAATTATTTTGACATATAGAGATGACTTTCAAGAAAAATTAAATGAAAACGATAAATTTTATGTCCTTCTCACATGTAATTGATTTTTTTGTATCAGCAATTCAGCCAGGATATCAACGAAAAAGTGCTGTTGGACGACTGGAGTCAACATCCTTAGCTCCAAGTAAGAATAGTAAAAAAGTAACTACAGTGAGATTTAATGTTTTAACGTGTCTGCATCCATAACATCTGAAATGAATATTAAAAAAACAAAGAGCATTTAAAAATTAGAAATATTTAAAAAAAAAAAGTGGTACAAAAGATTATAAGTATGTCGACGAAACAGACGTCTGACGTATTAAATCATAATCTTGTATCTTGTTTGATTTTTTATCCAAGTTGTGGGTGAATTCAGCAGATACGACTGTAAAAGATCTGAAACCGGCATACCGTCCTTTAAACGATCGAAGACATGTAAACAGAACAGGCAGGTAGCCAGAACTTTAAATGAAAGGGTTTGGATGAACTCAAATATTCAAAGAAAATGTAGGCTTAATGGTTTACTTTTACAAATTGTGACTTGGATGGAGAGTTGTCTCATTGGCACTCATACCACATCTTCTTATATCAATTAAATAGTGCAGATTTGTTTTAAGGGTGTTAATCTGTCAACTTCTCATCTGTAAATCACTTTGGTTATGAGCAGCAAAAATATGACACGATGCATGATATAAGGTTATTCTGAAAATATCTAGAATACAATTCTTTTGATTAAGAACATTTAATTTATGATATTTCAATTTTTAATTGCATTTTCATTTTGCCTACATGTATAATAATAATTTCAATAAACATGAACCCATTATTTTGTCACATAGAGATGACTTTTAAGAAAAATAAACGAAAAAAAAAATATATGCCCTTCTCATATTTTATTTGATTTTTGTATTAGCCATTCAGCCAGGTTACCAACGAAAAAGTGCTGTTGGAAGACTGGAGGCAACATCCTTAGCACCAAGTAAGAATCGTAAAAAAGTAACTACAGTAAGATTTAATGCTTAACGTGTCTGCATCCATACCCTCCGAAATAAAAAAAAAACAAGTACATTTACAAATAAAAAATATATAGAAAAGTGATACAAAAGATTATAAATCTTATGTAGACGAAACAGGCGTCTGCCGTAATAAATCACAATATTGGTATCTTTGATGATATTTTACCCAAGTCGTGGGTGAATTCAGCAGATACGACTGGTTAAAGATCTGAAACCGGTATACCGTTCTTAAACCGGTTGAAGACATGTAAACAAAACAGGCAGGTAGCCAGAAAACTTTTAAAGGAGGGTTTGGATAAAGTAAAACGTTCAAATAAAATCCAAGCTTAAATAGTATTTATTAGTTTCAAAGAGTGTGCATCAATCAACTCCTCCCCTGTACATCACATTGCTACGGGTATGAGCAGCGAAAACAACGACACGATTCATATTAGGTAATCCCATAATATACATATATAAACGACTTTGGATAAACAATTAAGGGAAACACAAAATCTATTAAATAGTCCATTTTTGTTTGTTTGTTGGTTTTGGTCGAAGAAATATATTGTCCAATTTAACCTTTTGTCCACTGAAAATAAAACACCGAGACGATAGCGTTACTGCAGCCATTAATTACATAAATACGACGTCAACTTCAAAAGTACTACTACTTGCTCAAAATTTCTAGAATACGATTCTTTTAATTTAGATCATAATGATATCTTAATTTTTTAATATATATTTTCGTTTTGACTACGTGTGTAATTTTGAATACACATGAGCTCATTATTTTGACTTTAAAGAATAATTAAACGAAAAGGATAAATGTTATGCCAAGTTACATTATGTTGGATTTTTGTTTTGTTTAAGCCATTCAACCAGGAAATGAACAAAAGACTTTTGCTGAAAGACTGGATGCATTATCTTTAGCTGGAAGTAAGAATCGTAAAAAGTGACTATAGTGAAATGTAATGTTTTAAGGCATCTGCATGCATACCATCCGAAATGAAAATAAAAACAAAGTATATGAAAAAAAAGTAATACAAGTATACAGAAAAGTGGTGCAAAAAATTTTGGAATTTAACAAAGTTAAATTACTGAGGATGAAACTTGTACAAATAATGGAAAAAAATCAAGTATGCGCGACACAAAAAGATTAGTTTTCTCTCTCTAAGATTAATAGCACTATGGGACACCAATTATATATTATATAATAATTATTTCGATTCAAACTGTTGCTCCGAGATGTTCCGAAATTGTTCATGTGTTCCAGCTTCTTAGTCCTTAACGTTCCAACGTCAAACACATCAATCACAAGCATCAATAAGTTTGTCGCGAGTTCGTTAATTGAAAATTCTATTTAAAGCAGAAGTAGATCACAACAACATTCGCGCCAATTTAGTTAGCTGCATTCCCCGAAGTTGTGAGTATACAAATAGAAAAAAATAAACATAGTAGAGAGGCTTAAGAAATTGTCATAAGTTAGCAAAATATATAAAAGAAACAATGAAAAGTTATCAGTTCAAAAAAAACAGACAACACCAGGAGAAAAAAATTACAAAAAGGCAATCAACAGTAAAATCACTACACAGAACTAAACAAATCATCATAAGAGTGAAACATATGTAAAGCAACGGATATCACAAACACATGTAAACTTATTGTATATAGTTTGTACAGTAGAGAGTACGCTTTTATCCCGCTTTTCAAATTGTGTGACGTGTTTTATTTCTTTGGTCAAATAAGCAATCATTATTTTGGTAGATGCATATTGCAGGTTTTTATCGCATGGTTAAACGATATGTATTCTAGATAATCAAAGGGGGGATTTGTTCCGACGTAGACCTGGTTTAACCGCAATTTATTTTGTACCTGTACCAAGTATGCTATCTGGACAATGTGTGGCTAGTTATTGTTCGTCTTTGTTTGTGTGTCTGTTTTTTTTTTTTGGAGGAGTCGGGATTTGATGTTTGACATAATCTATGGTGCAATGGTCCTGTTATTCCTTTTTGTGTAATAACAAAGAGGCAAGTTTATAATCAATTTACCAAATCACTAACACGAAAAGGTTTTTGAAACAGGAAATAAAATAAAAAGACAATACAAATTCATATGTGTTTCCAACAGAGTAAAAAACAAAAATCTTTTAGTTTCAAATTATTGCTGATTTCGCCGATTAAAAAAAAACACTTACACTAGGCTTAGCAAGACTAAAAAGAAGAAAAACATATTAAAAACAGGTATACAAAATTAAGTCAAAGTAAAAAGATATCAGGTATGAGGCGTGGAAACTGGAGAAGAGCAAAGTTTACCTCGCCCTTTAACATTTTCGTGCCATATACAAACATATTTTTCTGACATTTATCCAATATTTTTTTTTATACTGCAGCTAAAAAAGGCTACACACATAGTTTTGTGAATGATAACACAAAAATAATACTTATTTTCCATCCCTCGCCATCACATGAAATATAACTTTGTAAATACATTTGGTAAACAAAACCAACAGGAAGTTTTCTTGCTGCAATACAAAGCAGTATAGATGTCGATAGATAAAGTCAAAGTTGTAGTGCACAACACCATGATGATGGTTTATAGCATTAATCAAATCGTATGTTCAGATGTTTAATGATACGGTGGGAGTTTTCCTTTTCTTAAGGAAAATGCCGTATTTTATTTGATTGTTAAAGTAGGCATTCCTTTAATAGATGCTTTCTGTAGGTTTTTTATTGTGTGTTTTGATTTCGCGACGTGTATTCTAGATAAGAAAAGTGGGAGTTTTTTTTGCGCACGTAAAACTGGCTACAACAGCACTACATATTGTACCTGTATCAACTAAGGCTATCTATCTGAACCATGCGTTGTTCGTTTTTGTTTGTCTTTGTTTGTGTGGCTGTATTTTTTCGGAGGAGTCGTGTTTTAACGGTTGAATGAGTCTGTTGTGATGTTATTTCTTTTTTTTTGTGTGTAATATCAATAAGAGAAGTAGTTTATGACCTATTTACCAAATCACTTACACGAACGGGTTATCTTTCTTAGAAACAGGAAAGGAAATCAGAAGACAATACAAAATCTGATGTGTTTTCTATCAGAGTAAAACAATCTTTTTGAATCGAATTGATTCTGATTTTGCAGAATTTATCAAAAATACACTAGCACGAGAAGTTTCGGTTTGCATGTTGTGTCGACTATTAAATTTTTTGTTTGTGCGTTTCGCTGTGATATGTGTTTGTGCTGTATTTCTGTCACATAGTGCTGTCATTTTGGCGATATATTTTTAACATTGCCATGTAAGCGGGAGGTTTGGCTAGCCATAAAACAAGGTTCAAACAAAACAAATTTAGCAACAAACTGGAATCAGTATCGCTAGCTTCAAGTAAGAATTTTTAAAACACGGATAACATATTAAAAATAAATATGTAATATTAAGTTAATCTTAGAAAATATTATTTTTTTTTATGAAGCTTAGAAACTGGAGAAGAGCGATTTTTACCGATCCCTTCAACATTTCCCTACTGAATACAATAAACTTGACATTTTTCAGACATTGATATTATATTATTTGTTTTCTGCATGTAAAATGTACACAAAGTTATCAAAATATAAACACAAAAATAAAATTTATTTTGTATCGCTAAATGAGCCCCTGACTATGAAAAAAATAACTTCACTTGAAATCAACATTGCACGAAATATAACTTTTTTACTATAGTTGGTATATAAAACCATTATGAAGTGTTCTGGCTGCAGTGTAAAGCAGTATAGACGTCAATGAATAAGTTAAAAATAGTAGTGCACAACACCATGATAATAATTTTTAGCATTTAACTAACGTTATACAATGGGCGGTTGCCATTCTAAAGGAGTATTCTTGATATCTGGAATATTATCTGTAAGTGATCGTTCATATATGCATTCTACAATTATATTACTGTAGTGCTGTTTTGCTATAGAACCAGGTTTAATCCACCATTTTCTACATAAGGAAATGCATTTACCAAGTCAGGAATATGACAGTTGTTTTCAATTCGTTTGATGTGTTTGACATATTGATTTTGCCATTTGAATAAGGACTTTCCGTTTTGAATTTTCCTTGTAGTTCGGTATTTTTGTTATTTTACTTTTTTTTTTAACATATTATCAGTTTGAAGAATGAAAACTCTGATTTATTTTGAATATGGTTATAGTCTGATATCTCTTCTTTAGTAAAACCGATGCTATAGTATTGACACTTTTTAATGCAACTTGATAGAGTGTTTGTTTTATGCATTACACATTTTCATTACTTGTTACTGTTAAACAACCAATCGTTTTGAACAGTAAATGAATCATCTTTTTTTTTCAAAGGCAAAAAAGAGCACGACTCTGATTATTTAGTAGTAGCAGCATTGGACTTTGGAACAGCATATTCAGGTTATGCCTTTTCAATGAGAAGCGATTTCAAAACTGACCCATTAAAGATCCACGTAAATCAAGCTTGGAATGCAGGGAGTAGACAGTTGCTTTCACTGAAAACACCCACAGCCTTGTTATTAAATCCTGATAAGGAATTTGAAGCGTTTGGATACGAAGCAGAAACTACATACGCAAACCTTGCCATGGACGATACCAACTCGGGTTATTTTCTTTTTCGTAGATTTAAAATGAATTTACACAATAAGAAGGTATTATTCTTCATAGATATTTAAGATACTTTGATATCCAATTAACATACTTCATGTTTAACGAAGATCATACCTTTTCAACTTGCTGTATGATTACAAAATCGATGTTGATTCTATGTCGTTTGCAAAGCGTCCTTTAATTTAAAAATAATACAAGAAATGACGTAACTTACGGTCTTCAACAGTAGACTAGTAATGTAAGGTTCTAAATCACACAAATTATCAACCCTGTGAACAAAGTAGTCTACCAGTCTGCAATCACTACAAAATCTATAAAGGACAAAACTAATGTATGAGGTTTCTGTTTGGAGCAGGCATAATCAATTGTAACGAGGCTAACCTAGTTCTGTAGGTACTTTTAAGCCTCACTTTTTTGTCACAAACGACGGAATAATATTAAAGTTGTACATTAAAAGTATGGCAGAACAAGCAGGACAACAACTTGAATAAAATAATACTAGTATTTAATTAAAAAAAAACAGTGATACTAAAATCCTTGCCAATATGGAGTATACTCAACAAACAATTTAAGAACCACCGAGTAATATTTTTCTTTACAATAGTATCTAAGTTCGTGAATAAAAATCCACTGTTGTATCCACATCCATTAAGTAGCACGGAAAAGTATAATTTTGCATGTAAGCGCTTATCATGACTGTCGAATACCTACTTTCTGTTTTTCGATACTTTGCATTAAAAGTTAGGTATGCTTAGCATGACAACACGTGCACTCGTGTTTAAAATACACATTATAACAAAAACGAAAAATATCGTTTTCTGAAAAAAATAGATGAATTATAGAGAATTATTATAGTGAATAAAAACACACATTAAGGATGGTTTCTACACACTTCGGTATTTTCTTACGCAATTGAATAAAATATTTTGCACAGTGATCTCCATGTTTTCAATATATTTCAAGCACACATATAAATAAATCTATGACCAAAAAGTTTCAGATGATTGAAAATCATATTACTTTTCGCACAGTTTAACATTGATTTCATAGGAAAAATTACGATATTTTAGTTTTTCAAATTCTTATGCCTCAAACACGATCATACATACATTAATATATTCCCATAAACCTATTATTATATTCAATTTATCTTTGTAACACATGTGAATACCGTCTGTCTTGAATAAATGCCGACTGTCTTAACATTTCTTTACTATTCTTAAAATATTTCTCTAGAAAATAGGTAACGATCTGATCATAGAAGACATAGCAGGAAAACCAATGGCAGCTTTAGATGTGTTCACGCTGTCAATTAAAACACTTGTCAAGCATGTGATGGCACATCTAGAAAAACGAGGTACTGGTGTAAAATTGGCAGAAATACGCTGGGTTCTGACTGTACCTGCTATCTGGACTGATAGTGCTAAACAGTTTATGAGAAAAGGTGCAGTTCAGGTATCTAAATTAAAGTTAAGTTTTTATTAAATAGATGATAAGGTATCAATGTGTAGAGATACTTTTTTTTTTCATTTTAATGTTTTGTATCTGGTTTGGTATTTTCGTTTATTTGTTGTTTCTGTTTATTTTCAAAGCAAACATTAAATAATATGTAAGTTTCAGCTGAATTTCTTTACGAAATGCAGTATGTTGCAGTTATATCATTACACATTATAAAAAATTGATTAAGAGCACTTGCAAGACAAATCGAATTGTAAAAAAGATGCATGTGCAGAAGGAAAAACAATAAGATAAAATGTGAACGAATCGGATAAGGAAATATGCATGAGTAGAAATAGTCGGACAACAACGTCGTCATATTGATAAAATATGGAGAGACAGCTACTCCCATAATACTACACACAAAAGTAGAGACTCATTAAGTACAGCTCTTTATAAGAATAAGGCAGAGTACGATGTATGAGTGTTTCAAATGTTTTCTATAAATTGCCTGGTACTTCATTTGAACTTTGGTGGATAGTTGTCTCATTGGCAATCATACCATATCTCCTTATTTTTATATAGAAGCAGTAATTGAATACTGCTAAAAAAATTAATTTGAGTGGGAAAATATGAGTGGTAACGGACTCTCTAATTTTTGGTAGTTATCAGTGGTAAAATCTTTCAAAAATCAGCTAAATCACTACAATTCAGAGCCTGATTATGAATGGAATCAAACTTTTTCAAAAATTTTCATATGCAACATTGAAATAAGTACTTAAGTTAAGATTGAATGTACTTCAACCAAATTTGTAGATATTTTTTTTAAATATACTAAAAAAGGCATATTTTCAATTTTTCTGAATCATGGAATTTTGTGAAATTAACAAATTTTCTAGAGTGGTTTTTTGAAAAGAGCAAATGTGTACAGCATAGTGAGCATTGTAGTAATTAAGTTTGAATACTAATTTATCATGACTTTACCAAATTAAATAGAAAAATGCGTGAGACTCTCTTTAGAGCAAACGTGTACAGCATAGTGAGCATTGTAGTAATAAAGTTTGGATACTACTTTATCATGACTTTACCAAATTAAATAGAAAAATACGTGGGACTCTCTTTAATTTCATCACCATAGCAACCTATTGTATCACCATAACAACCCATTTTTTGCTTGGAAACGGAGTAGGTGTTGTTTTTTTTTAATCTTTCAGAGATCCTTGTAAGGAAAATTGCTGCAACGTTTGGTCAGGTTTTGTTCAGAGTTTTCAATCTGATAATCAATTCATGAAAAGTTGACAGATGATGGACTTTAGGGGATTGCAATAGACTATCCTGGATTTTAGCAAGGTCCATATAATTATTGAAAGTTTCAGAGCAATACTATGTCCTAAACTAGTTGTAAGAAAATATGAAAATTTGGCAAAATTCTCAATTTCCTAGGTCAATAACTCTCACAAATTTAATCCCATCAACAAGAAACTCAAACTTGATCTGTAACTTAAAACTATAAGCATATATACCAAAAACTAGAATCATTTGGTACATTTGTACATGCTTGTCAGTTGGTATCTGATAGAACGCTTTGTCCTCAGTAGTCATACTACATGTCCGTATTCTATATTAGTATTTTTTTCTGCTGATATCAAACATTTGAATTTGAATTTAGATACAGCTTTCTTGAGAATTAGTGTACTAGTATACCGATTCAACATTTTTTTCCTTTCTGTTTTATCAAAGAAACTGTTTAATTCAGCCATTGAAATCCTATGCTTGCGAATAATATTCATTTCGTCGATTTTTGTGGTTTGTATGTGTGTGTTTAATGTGAGTTGACAGTATTTTAGATTAACTACTTAACCAATGTGACACCGAGGCTCATGATTTTGTCATGAAAAGGTTGTAACATAGGGATAATACATTGATTTCATATTATTGATTCCCATTCGATTCTTTAATTATTTGTCTCATTGGTGGTCCCATGGTATCGTGTTTTCTCAAGTGTGCGATTGTCTTTGGTTTAATCCGCAACAAGGTCGATCCAAATACGTCGTACGAATGTCAGAGGATATACTGCTTGACTCGGAGTAAAATGTACGTGCAGGTAAAATGATAAGCCTTTCTATGAATTATTACCTCGTAATAATTCTTGTAGTTGATTTGGTATATTTTTAGAACCCCGAAAGTATCATTAGTTCTAGTCAATGTTTCAGTATTGACATGATATTAACACATCTTTCTTAAATTCTCTGTTGATAAGTTTAACGTTATTAAGAGTCTCCATCGGGCAAAGTTGGCCTTGGTTGGATTTAGATTTTCTTTTTTTGGTATTACAGCTCCTAGTGCATTTAAGTTGGTATACACCAATGACTTTCACTTTTTTTGGTTTGAGCGATCCTTGCTGATGGTCAATCCAGAAAAGTGCTTCGGACGTACCACATTCATAAATTGTTATTTTAGTTTCCTGCATATACGGCTGTTGGTGGATTGCTAGTTCCCAAGGTTAACATCATCAGCATAGTAACAGTGCGTCGGTATTTTTAATAACATACCTTTCTTAAATTGTACATTGATGAATTTAGAAATGTTTTAGAAACTTACTTTACCCTCGGGCAAAATTGATCTCTGGTGGATTGACCATTCTGTTTAGGTCCCTTTGGTCATATAGAACCTCGTGTATTGAAGCAGTTATACAACGTTTGATTTCAATTTTTGGGTGTGAATGGAGACAATTTATTTCAGAGAAAATGTTTTAATGTGCTAGTAAATAATTTGTTTTTCACAACCGGGTCTTTCCAGCTGCTGGTTGACTATCTCTATGGGCATCATTTAGCAAGAAGTCAGCGTACCTGTCTTGGAATGATGTAAAGATGTTTTGAGTTATTTTCGGTTCATAAAAGTATTACAAAGGTTGCAACTCTTATAGGCAAAGTTGAAGTTTTACCATTTCGGCTTCATTTTTTTGTATTCTATGAAGGCTCGTTTTGCTTTTATGTATTCAATCGTTTTATTGGCTCTGATGTTAAGCACGCTATTGGTGTCTCTTTGAATAAATGCGGTGGATAGCGAGTTATTCCAATTCAAGCTCGTTTCCTACATAATAACATATATACATTTTGGGTACGAAGGTTATTCCAGAAACACGTGTTGATCCACAGATTTGTATTTTTTTTCAATCATACGGAATATATATGTAATGTTTTACCAGTCCTACTAAAACATTCATCCATTATTCACATACTTTGGTATAATTGTGGTGATGCTCACGATAAAGAAATATTTCAGTCCTACTATTGCAGTTGTATAAAAAGCAGTGTCATAAAACAAATGTAGTATAGTACAGTGTATAACAATCACACATTCATAAGACTTGCGCTATTTCGAAAATTTCACATTTGAAATAAGACGAAGTGTTATATATAACACAAACAATAAAATAAATGACCAAGCATAATTTATGAAAGAAACAATTTTGTCATGTAAGTAATGTGTCGCTAGATTATATGCCCTGATGATATTTTAGTAGAATAATTTGATAATAAACATGATATAGGGTAGATTATTTTATCTTTTCTTATGCTTTATTAAAGGCTGGAATACCAGAAAATAAACTATATATAGCTTTAGAACCGGAAGCAGCATCTATATTTTGTCAATACTTACCAACAGAGAAACTTAACGGAGCTGATTTTAAAATGGCCAAACCTGGAACAAAATATATGGTCGTTGATCTTGGAGGTATGTTAATAAAAGAGAGACGAAAGATACCAAAGGGATTTTCAAATTCATACATCGAAAACAAACTGACAATGTAATGACAAAAAACGAAAAACGACGAAAAGACAAACAACAGTACACAAAACACAACATAGAAAGCTAAGGACTGAGCAACACGAACCCCACCAAAACACAAACAGGGATGATCGCATGTGCTCCGGAAGGTTCAGCAGATCCTGCTTCACACGTTGCACCCGTCGTGTTGCTCGTGTAAGTACACCCCTGGTGATAAGTCTAACTTAGTAGATCACATTCGAGGAAAAGAGGACGGGATTGTGGTTACGATAATTGGACCACAAACGCTGCATCTGTGAAACAGATATTCCATTTACGGTCAACCAATTCGTGACGGCGTTTGTAAAATCTTCGAAGGGATGATTTCAACTTCAACACTGGGAACCCTCGGTTCAATAGTAAGCAGCAACCCTCTATCAAGCAAATTATGATAGGAAATGCATGTTGCATTAAAAATAAAGTACATTTCATACTTTAAATGCTTTCTTGATTAATATTTACACACATCCAAGTAGACCCATTGGTGGCCTTCGGCTGTTATCTGCTCTTTGGCCGGGTTGTTGTCTCTTTGACATATTCCCAATTTCCATTCTCAATGTTATGTTAACTTCTGTTGATGTCCTCCCTGAAATATGCATATACCATGACGTATATTACAATTTACAAGAAAAAAACATTTACTACTGTTCATTGTAGCATGATTTTAAATATATAACGGAAAAATGACACCGTTTGTATTGTGTACGGTTGCATATACAAAGCAATTCAGAACAAAATCAAAAATAGAAGTTAATACAAAATATGTAACGCAAAAATATATTCCATAAAATTGTTTCGATATGAACAGATAAAATTATTTTGATAAAATTATTTTGATATTAACACATCAGAAGTCGTGAAAAGTTAAACAGTGATATTTCAATAAATAAATATCTACAGATGTTCATAGCACATCTTTAAATATTCAGGTGGCACAGCTGATATAACTGTTCATGAAAAGGTTTCAAATGAGCATCTGAAAGAGTTGTCTAGTGCTACAGGCAATAATTGCGGAGGTACCTCCGTTGATGAAAGATTTTTGCAGATATTTGTGGATATATTTGGACGTCCATTGATGAACGCATTAAAGGAAGAAGATTCATCTTCGTATTTGGATCTGTTTCTCGAATTTGAAACAGTCAAACGAATAATTGAACCAGACAAAAATTCAAAAATAACCATTTGCATACCTTATCCATCGATAAATAGTTGTTGTTTGAAACTTCTTAACAAGGACATTGAGTCTGCTGTACGTGCGTCAAAATATGGCAACAAAGTCACTCTAAAATGTGGCAAACTCCGAATAGACTCTGAAATCGTTAAAGATATTTTCAAGCCAACAATTGAAAGTATTGTATCTCTCATGAAAGACATTTTTGAGAAAACGCCATCAGCTGATGTATCACAGATTTTGTTGGTTGGTGGTTTTTCTGAATGTGCTCTTGTTCAAGATGCAATTAAGCGGGCGTTTCCGGATAAGAGAGTTATAAACCCAGATGAAGCGGGTTTAGCTGTTCTGAAAGGAGCTTGTCTTTTCGGTCACAAACCGGATTATATAACATCTCGCGTGATGCAGTATACCTATGGCACAGGAACTAGTTTACCTTTTGATGCGAACATTCACGACAAGGAGCACCTTGTCATAGAGGAAGATGGAGAATTTTGTGATGGCCTGTTTGAAGTAATAGTCCGCAAAAATGACACAGTTGATATTAATACCGCAATTGAACACAATTTCACCGTGGATTGCAATGACCAAGAGCCGTGGGAACTGTCCCTTTATGCATCGACAAAAGAGAAACCGATGTACGTGGACGAAAAAGGTTGTACTCTTCTCGGTTCAATGAAGATTTCGTTCTCAAAAGCAAGTGAAACAGAACGAGAATTGAGAGTGGCGTTCCTGTTCGGTAATACTGAGTTGGGTGTTACAGCGACAGATATACTTACTGGAGAAACCATTTCGTCTACATTTAACCTGAACTAAATTAGTAAATACATTTCAGAATTATATATTTTTGCCCATTGTGAATTTACATGATTTAATAATAAATAAAAATTCATATATATTTCATAAGATTGATTGATGTTTATAAAAAAAAAAGCTAGTGTTGTAGATTTACATGTATGAAGTATGTTGTCTATTGGTTTCCACTTGCATAAGCGAACTCTTTTTAATAAGAGACATATACAATAAATGTATAATAAAACAAAACCGCTGGTGGTCATATTGATTTGGATGACTAATAAGCACTAAGTATATCACAATTTGGGTTTAACTAGAAACATCAGATTCGGTGGGCACGTGGGTTCGATACCCGGCAGGATTAAACCAAACTGCTTATTGGTATTTGCTGCTTCTCCGCTACGTACGCAGCATTAAAGAGTAAGAGCAAACGCTGAACAGCCATCCGTCAATCTATCATCAATTAGATATTGAATTTAATTCGACTGTCTTTTGGGGATTTTTTTTTTAAGTTTGAGCTTATTGTATTAATCTGATAAATTAATCATGTTTGTTTCTCAAGAATACGCTATCTTATTTATAATTTATATTCTTTAAAAATTTTGGAAAAATTTAGATTTAAAAATCGCCTCTGGCATTTATTAGGTCGGATACGGGTATGCATAATTTAGCTTGAATACTCAATTAGTTTTTACCTGGAAATTAATTAGTTGCAATGCGTGATGGACTGCTTATAATTAACCGAGAACACATGTTTTTACTGACATGCAACGCATTTTTCCCAGATTGCCGGAAAAAGATATCATGATATTTTTTTCTTCTTATGTGATTACATTTACAGACCATGATATAAAGCACTATTAACATGCTCAGATTAACGAATAAATGTTTCTGTCCGAAGAAAATAGTGATTGAAATACACGCACAATAGCCACTAATATAAATCGATAAACAAAGCAACCAAACGATACTAAATAATAATAATAAAAACTCAAAAGATAACTAGTTGTACTTTCATTCAGATTTTGAAAACGGGAGGCGCCTGAACTTTTCAGATATTTCATAAGATTGGGAAAGCGAGTGCCAAATATCCGTTTGACGCACTCACAAATCTTTTCTTTTTTTGTACAGAGTTTATATATATTTATTGATATTTAACCTACATTTTGTTTTTCTGCTGTCATTGCAAAGATAAAAAAAAAAGTGGCATTGTCCAAAAACGAATGATGCAAGCCCTTAGAGATGATCAGATAGTGTTTTTTTTTAGTGCATCCACATGCACTGAAAATTGCACTATCATTGTTTTATTGTAAATACTAATCGTCTGTGTAACTGTGTAATTAGTTTATGAGATTTTAGTAGTGAAACTTTAATAATCCAAACAAAAATGCGGTTACTATTATTTCATTTTATTTCTTTTGCACGTAGTTATTCTGTGTCATGAAATAATAAACCATCCCCTTTATTTTCCCTTACTTTTGCTAAATACACGTGTACGAGTATATGATGTCACTTAACAGGTTTTAAACTACGGCTAGGGATTGAATGAGGTGTGGCATGATTTCATTGAGACAGCAACCAAACGACATAAATAACCAAAAAACAGCTAAGGGTCAACATAAGGTCTTCAACAATAGACAGATGTCCCAGTCTATATAATATATAGACTGGGACATCTGTGCATATAAATTATGTGCATGTCTTTAAAGCCATGGTGCTTTGCAGCATTTAAGTGCTTGATAACAAGTAGGATTTCTGTGCCGTATTCTATATTCTTTATGAAATAGAATTGATTATGTAAAGAATTAAGAATATGCGATACGAAAATATCAAGAGCACACAGACTATGTAACCCATTCCTTTAAAATATTTTAACTAGTTTTAAAAAGCTAAGAAGATTTTAACTGGACAATGGACAGTTCGATATCAATTTAACATGAAATGAATGCACCTGTTCTTTGCTACTTGATACGATGAAAAAACTAGAATGCTGATGCCGGTAAACGATATTTTTAAAATCTGAACATGCAAATTGAAGATTATGTTAAATTTATTACATAATTATATAACATTAGATGAGCAAAAATGATAAACCAGAGATTCCGAGATACATTACAAAAAGACACTTTTCTACCAAATTCCACTTAGGTGATAGTAAACTCGTAGTATCCCGCACCGCATTATGGTTTATTGTGTCGATTGGTCAATTTCTCACTGACATGTTCACATTTGTATTTGAGAAAGTACTATGCAAATGTATTCTGACGTAAGAATTCAAAAGGTCCCGACCTGTTTAAGTTTATCGTCAAATCAAAACCGAATGAGGTCAATTTGTAGAAAATCTTCGATACATCATGTTTGCCATCGGTTTTTTTCTTATTGGCTATGTAGTTTAAAAAAATGAGAAAATGTGATTTTCAATAGTGTTTCATTGTGAATCATCTGGAGTTGCAAAAATTATTCCACCCTGTATTTAAACAGAAGACATTATTTGAAAATTAGCCAATCAGAACCATAGAGTACCTTTTGGTTCCCATGTTTATAGTCCGACCGAGACGAGGATGGTTTGTAGAGAACTTCTAAGCATCATTCCTGTCATATTTTTATTATTTCCCAGTGGACATGAAGTTTAAGGGAAGATTGTGCAAGTACTATTTTCTAAAGGGGTTCATTGGGAAATATGTCCTGCCACTTGCCACCTGATCAACATTATGTCAGAACTGTTTTAAGGGAGTCTTGTTATCATCAATCCTGTGAAGTTTTAAAACATTTCGCCTTGTAGTTTAAGAGAAGAAGATTTTGAAAAGTTGCCAAACAGAAAAGAAGTTGACTCTTGATCAGATGAAAATTAGGATGGCTTTTAGAAGACATTGTACACATAAATCTCACGAAGTTTGGTTAAAATTATGCTAAAGGTTTCAGAGACAAAATAAAAACTTCAAAATTTAACGGACGACGGACCACAGACGATGGACCACAGACGACGGCAGCCAAATGATTGAAATATTTCAAAATGACCTTTCTCAACTGAGTTCAACCTAAACAACGAACCTTAAAAGTAAGACTTAAAATTTACAAAAGTTTAAATGACCTAGTTCACTCTTCTACCTATATAAAGATTTTTTGAAAATACCTAATTCTTGGAACTGTTTATTTAAATCAGATACATTTATTAGGCTATCGTATTTGTGATAGCGGGTAGTTAAACAGAAGTAAAAAGATATACACACACACCTTAAGTTATTTAGGTCAATTTTGTTGTGATGAAAAAAGCGCGACCAATATTCATTGAAATTGTTTAATTAAGGGGGCAAAATCGAAATGTTGAATTTGAATCAAAACAGTTTAAAAATAATTAAAACAGTTTACCATAATTCATAAAATCCGTAAATGCTACTTATAGAGCAACTGCTTACTGTTCAAGCACAAGCACTTGTCTATTACAAAACATTTTTAGTATGCATGTATTAAAAGAAGAGAATTGTTGGATCTGAATGGTAATGCACAGCGTTACTTTAACTTATGAAATTTGTTTTGTTTCGGGTTACCTTCTAATTCAATTATTTTCTATATGAGCCCAATATAGAGTTAACAAAGATCAACGCACTCTTCATGTGTCTGTCCCAAGTCAGGAGCTTGTAATTCAGTGGTTGTCGTTTGTTGCTGTATATCATATTTGTTTTTCGTTCATTATTTTTCACATAAATCAGGCCGTTAGTTTTCTCGTTTGAATTGTTTTAAACTTGTCTTTTCGGGGCCTTTTATAGCTGACTATGCGTATGGGTTTTGCTCATTGTTGAAGTTCGTACGGTGGCCTATAGCTGTTATTTGGTCTCTGGTGGAGAGTTGTCTCATTGGCAATTATACCAAATCTTCTTATTAGCTCACCATTCCTAAGGAACTGTGAGCTTTTGCCATCACTTGGCGTCCGTCGCTGTCCGTCTGGTGTAATCTATTTCAAACATCTTCTCCTCTGAAACTACTGAACCAATTCCAACCAAACTTTTGCTGAATGATGCTTAGGGTATCTAGAATAAAGTTTGTGTTTTATATAACATGGCCGCCATGGATAAAAATAGAACATAGGGGTAAAACGCAGTTTTTGGCTTATATCTCAAAACCCAAAGCATTTAGAGCAAATCTAATTTGGGGTTATAGTGTTCATTAGGTGAAGTTCTATCAGCCCTATAATTTTCAGTTGAATCTGATAACCCATTGTTGGGTTGCTGCCACTAAATTGGTAATTTTAAGGAAATTTTGCAGTTTTTGTTTATTATCTTGAATATTATTAATGATTCAGCAAGGTAAGATCTACAAATAAGTTCATTTGATCAAAATTGATAATTGACCCCTTAAGGAGTTATTGCCCTTTAAGGACAATTTTAAACAATTTGTTTATCATGTTTTCTAACTTTAAAAAATCTTCTTCTCTGAAACTACAGAACCAATTCCAACCAAACTTAAGCTGAATGATTGTAAGGGTATCTGGAATAAAGTTTGTGTTTTATTTTCTGTTTCTAAAAAAACATGGCCGCCATGGCTAAAAATAGAACGTAGGGGTAAAATGCAATTTTTGGCTTATATCTCAATAACCAAAGCATTTAGAGCTAATCTGATGAGAGGTAAAAATGTTTATTAGGCCAAGTTCTGTCAGCCCTGAAATTTTCAGATGAATTTAACAACCCATTGTTGGATTGCTGCCACTTAATCGGTAATTTTAAGGAAATTTTGCTGATTTTGGTTATTATCTTAAATATTATTAATGATAAAGATAAACTGTAAACAGCAAAAATGTTCAGCAAAGTAAGATCTACAAATAAGTTCGTATGACCAAAATTGTCAATTGTCCCCTTAAGGAGTTATTGCCCTTTAAAATCAATTTTTCACAATTTGTTCTTTTAGTTTCATTGCTTACTTTAAAAAATCTTCTCCTTTGAAACTGCTGAATCAATTTGAGCCAAACTTGGGCTGAATGAGTTTCAGAGTATCTAGTATATTTTTTTTATTTTATTTTCTTGTACGTCAAGAAACATAGCCACTATGGTTAAAATGAAACATAGGGGTAAAATGCATTTCTTTGATTTTGAAGAAAATATGACAGATACAAAGAA